CCGCCGCCTCCCGCCTGCCTGCCTCCTGTGCGCCCACTGACCTGTGTGTTTCCTCCCACAGGGCCTGGCGGGTCCCCGAGGACAGCCGGTTGGTACCTCACCCCAATGTTCCCCCACAGAGAGGCTTTGGGCCGCTGTGTTTTCAGCTTTAGTTTCTAACACTCTCCTCTCCATCTCTTCATAGGGGCCCCAAGGAGAAAAAGGAGAAAAGGTAAGCCCGGTGGAGGTTTTCTAGAATTTTCATCTCAGGTGGGGCACATTAAAAAAAAAAAAAAAACAGGAAGGAAGGGGTCCAGAGTGGTTATTTTTAAACTTTAGTTCTTATCAGAACCAGGGGGCCCCTGTGGTGCCTGGTATAGAAGAGAGAAAAGGGAAGCTGCTCTGGCTCCTGCTCTGTTCTTGGGGTCGGTTTGGGGGAGAGGGGGGCAGAAGGGGTTGGCCCTGAAGCCTGGCCCTCCTCAGCCTCTCTCAGCCCCTCCCACCTGCCACCCCACATGTCTCCTGACCCACCTCCAGGAGCCGCTGGGATTTTGAGGTGTCAGTATGTAAACCAGTAGCCTGGCCCCTGCCTGGCCCCCTACATTTACTCTCCAAATTTCTGATGGAGATTCTGCTGGGCTTGCCCAGGCGGATGGCACAGGGACCTGGCACCCCCAGCTCAGAGAAGGCGTCTCTGAGGGCCTCGTTCCCCACTACCTGCCTCCCGTCTGCTGTTGCCGTCCAGGGGCATTGGGTGGACCCACCCGAGGGCCAACCTTTTTGGAAGATCCCTCCAGCCAGGTGTGGAGCACAGCTCCTGCCTGTGTCAGGGCGGGTGGTACACGGCAGTGGAGTCCTGCTCCAGGCTCCATGGGGCCACATCCAGGCAGGCTCCACTCCGGGGTTTCTTCCATGCTGCCAGTCGGGGTAGGGTGGGGAGGGGAGGGGGGTTAGTTCTCCCACCTCAGAGAGCTCAGTCCAGGACCAGAGGGTGTCTGGTGGGTGATGAGTGTGCGTGGTGTGTACAAGCCCTGAGGTGTCCCTGACGGACAGCCACCAGCCAGTGCCTAATACCCTCCTTTCCTTCCCCTCCCCTCAGGGTCAGTGTGGAGAGTACCCGCACCGGGTAAGTGAACCCCTAAAACTGATCAGCCTCATCTCCCTGGGCCCCCAGCACCTACAGAGCTTGGGAACAGGAGCATACGACCCCCTGCGGTCAGCAGCCGGAGTGGGGCCCTGGGTAGCCGTGTGTTTGCCTGGCCCGGGAGTGTGCCTGTGGTCAGTGTGAGTTTGTGCAGAGCGGTCTCCAGCTCGTGTCCGCCCGTCCGTGCGTGTCTGTGTATCTGCCCCGCGCTGTCTGGGCTGCGAGTCTCCCAGCAGGTGTGTATCTGTGACTCCGAGTGCCAGCTGCTCCCCTCTGCACATCGCCTCCTCCGAAAGGCCGTGTGGCTGTGCGAGTCTGTGTGTCTGTGTGCGTGTGACTGCGTGTATGTCTGGCTGCCTTCCTGGCCGCATCAGAGGGACTTTTGGGTTAGTCATTGTTTCAGATGAGCCAGCCTCAATGGGAGGAGCTCGCTGGGGGCGGATTGTACAATTCCAGGGTGAAGTCTCCGCTTTGCCTCTTGAAGAAGCGGTGCTGGGCTCTTTACAAGCAGAGTGGGGATTTGGGGGCTGAGGTGCCACTCCCCCATCCCACCAGCTCCTTCCTTTTCCGGGCTCTCCCTCAGGCTGCACAGCCCAAAGCGTGCAGAGTGCACCAGCCGCCCTGCAGAGCCGTTCTAGAGGCGGGAGGGCTAAGGTGTGCATGGCTTCCTCCAGTGAGAGGCCCAGCGACCTGGAAAATGCCCCGAGTTTTGTAGATCAGCCTCGCCACTCTCAGACCTGGGTAGGCATCTTTAGGTGCCATTCCCCTGTCCTGAGCCTCCTGGTACCCAGAAACACACACATGGTGTGGCTCACTGGTCGCCCACCTGTTGGGCAGGGGATGAGGGAGTGGAGACAAGCGCAAGCCAGACTGGGAGTGCACCAGGCTCCGCAGGGCCACCAGGAGGGCCTTGCTAGCAGGGTCCTGCCAATCAGACTCTTACCCCTGGATTCCTGGGCCAGGAAGAGGCACGGGGAGCCTTGAACATGAGTAGCAGGATTGGCATAGAAGCCAAGGTCGGGCTGGGCCTGGGCAGGGGCTGCAAGCCAGCAGCCGTGTGGACAGAGCCAGCCTGTCAGTGGCATGTGCTCCAGGGACGCAGGGGCCCTGGTGTTCCGGTCAGCCTGATCCTGATACAATAATAGAAGGTCAGCTGTGTTTATTTGGAACGATGGGCTCACAGGATTGTCATGTTGCCTAAAAGAAAGACAGCTTCCCCCTGCACCGAAGACAACACAACTGCAGGCGCTTTGGGAGTGTCTCATCAGACCTGGGCGAACGCGCGAGGGTGGGGGCAGGAGAGGGCTCTCTGCCCCTAAACCCAGCGTAAGAGGAGGGAGAGGGCAGGGACAGAAGGCTCCAGAAGCACCTTGGCCACTGGGTGCAGCCAAACACAGCATTATGACCGTGGCAGTGTGGGGTCCAGGTCAGGCAGGGGTGAGAGCGGGGTGCGGAGCGGCACTTGCCGCTTATTTGGAAATGGGTAGGAAAGCAGGGGCTTCTAGGGCTTCTAGGGCAAGTGGCTTATGACCGTGGCAGTGTGGGGTCCAGGTCAGGCAGGGATGAGAGCGGGGTGGGGGGCGGCACTTGCTGCTTATTTGGAAATGGGTTGGAAAGCAGGGGGCTTCTAGGGCTTCTAGGGCAAATGGTCGATTGGGGGGTTGCGGGCTTGGTGGGAGGCAGGCCTCCACATCCACAAGATGCCAAGGGATCCAGGCTGGTCCCTGCCTCTGTTGCAGCCTGCAGCACCTGCAGGGAGGGGAGCAGGGGCGGAAGGTCCGGATGGAGTCCCCTGGGATGGGGAGCAGGGGAGCAGGGGAGTGGTGTCACTCTCCCCCTGGCCCTGTCTCACCACCTCCATTGCCCTTCCCTCCCAGGAGTACCTAAGCGGCTCTCTAGCAGCTCTGCACTCCAACCAGATAATTACCCTGAAGGTTTGTAGGTTCTCTTCCGGGAGGCCTCTGGCCCCGCTCTGCTGAGAGGCTCCTGAACGCAGAGGCCAACATTGCACGTCCTCGGACCCCTGGTGGGTGGGGGCGCGGCTCTGGGTGCAGCAGCTGTCCCGGAAGGCGGCCATGACCTAGAAAGGCCATGATTAGGCACCCACGCCCCCAGCTGGGCACATTCTCAGCCCAGGTGGCCTCTGGTTCTTAACACTCATCCCAGGGGCCTCCTGTGACTTAAAATGCTTTCCAAACAAAAGGTTGGTTAGATGCCATCTTTGTTTTAACTTGGGTCTCACCACTTCCTAGAGCCGCTGGGTGCTCGGCTGCATGGGTAGAGAGATTGAAAGCAGCAAGATTGTCCAGAAATGAAAGTCACATGCAATACTGTGATGGCAAGCTGCCTCTCCCAAAAAAGTGGTTGGACATCCTTGCCAGCCTCTATTTTCCAAGCCGTCCAGCCCCAGGGTGAGACCTGGGTAGCACTTATCTTGTGCCCACACTGGCCACACCCTCGGTCGGTTCAGCCCCCGGGAACCGGGCTTGGCACTGCCCTCAACCACCTCCCCAGATTCGCTGACATCGGCCTTTCTCATTCAACCAAAAAGAGCACCCAGAGGCAGCCACACAACCAGCCTGGCTGCAAGTACCAATTTAGCTGGTCCTGTGGCTCCTACGTAACCAGAGCCTCTGAGTCTCCCTCCCTCAGCCCAGCAGCCCTTGTCCACCACCAGGAATGCCAGCAGTGCAATGTTGGGTTGTGTGTCAGGCGGCTTTTTCAGCCCAGCATGGCCACGGAGGGCAGGCCCAGGCAAGGAGGACCGCTCTCCCTGTTGGGGGATGCTGCTGGCCAACACCCCAAGGACGGCTCCTCCTTTAAGGGACGGTGTACCCTCCCAGGGCAAACTCAGCACTGCGCCCCCTAAGCCTCGGGAGTGCTGGGTCCATGCCTCCCCTCCCTGTGCCTCACACTCGCTAATCTCTCTTCTCTCTATCTCTCCTCCGTTCCCTCTTGGCCGCCCTGCCTTCCTGGTGACTTTTGGCATCCTCCTGAACACCTGCGACCTTTGGCCTTTGCCCTCTGGCCTTCCAACTCATCTCTCTCCTCAGCTGCTGCCTCTCCTCAATTCAGTGCGACTGGCTCCACCCCCAGTCATTAAAAGGCGGACCTTCCAGGTAGACCCCTTCCCTTTGCCCAGACCTCCTGGGGCCTCCCGGGGCTCCGAGAGTCTCTGGGCCTGAGAGGCCAGCGGGGGCTGCAGACGAAGACAGAACCTCACTGTCTTTTGGTTAAATTAAACCAGACAAAAATGGACCGGTCAATGCCATAGGCCCAGAGACACACACCACCCGGCCCAGCAGACCCCCAACTCCTACTGCCCATTACTACTCACAGGAGCCACCACCACAGCCGTCAGTGCTGCCAGCCACCGTGTCCCACATGCCACAGGCCTGATTCCACTTCAGCCGCTCAACAGTTTTCTGAACGGGCATGGTCATCCTTATTTCTCAGATGAGGAAGTCAAGGCTCAGAGACGTTAAGTGAGTTGGCCAACGTCACACAGTACATGGCAGGCACCCAGGTCTCTTACCAGCTATGTGATTTGGGGCAAGTTACTTAACCTTTCTGTGTCTGGGCTTGGGCATCTGCGAAAGAGTAAGCAAAAGGATACCTAAGTCAAACACCAGCTGGCGTTAGGTAAACCACAGTGCATGAGTGTCTGGCTGAGCGTAGGCATTCAGCCAGCCTTAGCTGAACTAATAGCAGATAATCATTATTATAAACGTACAATTTCCCCTTACGATTACACAAAGGAGATTGTTCATAAAAGGGGAAGACTTGTGGACTGTTATGGCAGTTGCAAATTAGGGAGAAGAAGAAAGTAAAGGAAGAGATTTAATGAGAAAGTTAAAAGCCAGATCTCTCAATCAAGTGCTGAGTGATAAAGAAGACTCCGGCATGCACCCCCATCAAAGCGCAAGACTGCTACCCATTTGTCTCCCACCATGTATGTGTGAGTGTTAGACATATGAGAATACGAATGGAGCTGGACAATCTCCCCTTCCTTCCTTCTAGTATCTTCATTGACTTATACCAGGAAACCACAACCAGTCCAGTCACAGTGCTGGCATGGGATGGGATTTACATGCATGTAGACCAGTCTGCGCAGCTTATCGAGGTGTGTCTGCATCTCTGGGACTGGAAATGAGGCTAGAGATCCTGCCACATAGTCTCCCGATAGCTCAGGCTGACGGAGGAGGAGGTGCAAACCCCTGAAGAGTCCCTATGCTCTTTCCACAGGAACATACAATGGGGCTTGGGGTCGGTATGCTAATATTTACTACAATCCTGACCAGGTTTTATTATTATTTTTAAAATATTTTTATTGATGTTTAGAGAGAGAGAGGAAAGGAGAGGGAGAGAGAAAGAGAAACATTGATGTGAGAGCAGAACATTGACCGGCTGCCTCCTGCACGCCCCCTACTGGGGATCTGGCCCGAAACCTGAGCATGTGACCTGACCAGGAATCGAACCAGCAACCGCTTGGTGCAGGGGATGGTGCCCAACCAACTGAACCACACTGGCCAGGGCCCAGGTTTTATTTTACGTTCTATTTCAGTTTCAAAACTGGGGTTTCTTCTAAGTTTTCAAAGTAAAGGGACTCTCCTAGCAAGGCCAAAGCCTAATTGTGTCATGAGGGATAACAGTGTTCTTCTGTTTCTCTTATGAATGCCTTCAAGAGTTTTTAAAATCAAGCCAATGTAAGCATTTACCCTGAGAATGTCATGAGGGACTTGGAAGTCTTATTTGCTAGCACTAAAACAATGATAGTTCAATTATTTGAAGGAGAATTAAGAAAAAGGCATTCCTTCAAATATGTCTAGAGTATTTTTCAAAAATCTCAAATGATCCTAAATTATTTTGGAGAAACAAGTGCTGATATATGTCTGATTAACTTCGGAGAAGGGAATATGTTATGTCTAATAAGTGCAGTCCTCCTTCATGGAGTTGACTCCAAGCCTTTAGTTCATCTTAGG